CAGTTTGCAACAAGGCCTCTCTCTCTCTCTCTTCAATTATTTCTAATTTCTATTGTTTTAGTTTTTAGGCAGAAATATTCACCATGTAAAAGTGGTAGTTTCTCACATCGTGGAACTACCACACCATTAATTTTAAGTGTTGTTTTTCTTTTATTTCCATTTTGTATCTGATTGTCAAGCGTGCCAGCATTTTCTGAATTTAAGTGTTAACATTAATTTCAGTTTCCAGTATATTTACAGGTTTCATTCTATTGCTTTATTATTATTATTATTATTATTATTATTATTATTATTATTATTATTATTATTATTATTATTATTATTATTATTATTATCATTATTATTACTATCATTATCATTATTATTATTACTATTATTATTATTATTATTATTATTATTATTATTATTATTATTATCATTATTATTACTATCATTATCATTATTATTATTACTACTATTATTATTATTATTATTATTATTATTATTATTATTATTATTATTATTATTATTATTATTATTATTATTTGTTTGTTTAGATCAATCAACTTGTTATTTATTTTTGCAATAAGCATGTTTAATTCAGTTTCACTTAAAAGCATGTCCGACTAAATATTCTTGAGTCCGGTGTATGAGGACTGTTGTTGCCAACGAACTCGGTAGAAAATAATAGGTGCAAATTTATGATTACAATTCAGTTTTGATTTTAATTTCCCAGTCTAATTTAAATAGCTTTGTCACGAGAGTGAAAGATTATTTGACATGATTTTGTCACGAGAGTGAGAAATCAATTAAGGTTAGAGTTGGCACTGTAAGAGCGTGGGGATCAATCCAGATAGTGGAAATTAGGCAACAAATTTAAATACAGCGAGAGCGCTTTAGATGCATTTAGGATATTATTGGCTTTCAAAATATATTTCTTAGTTACCGGGCGAGCGAGAGCAAAATCTTGGGATTATGAAGTATGACTTTAGTTAATACCGTGAGAGCGTGAGGCGGAGTCCTTAAGTCAGTATATTCTACGGAACTAAGTTATACTTGTAATTAGTACCCATTTTCTATAAGTCCTTCAGGAACACGGAAACCTTATTCCAGTCTCTCTTTATTATTATTATATTTTCTAAAGTCATTTTTAGTTTTAGTTCTTAATTTCCCCCAAAAATCCAATTATTCATTAGCCTTAACTTTACAAAGTAGTGATAGATTGCAGTAGGTTGACATTGGTCTCTGTGGTTCGACAATCTTTTATATTACTTCAATATTTCCGTGCACTTGCGGATGCATAATGTTTGTGTGTGAGTTTCCTCAAAGTTACTTCCTTACTTTTACAAAACTCTGGTTACTCAGACAGACACGACTTGACAAACTTTCACACTTTCTTTCTTTTATTGCTCTGAGACTTTCAAGAATTTTTCCAGATACATCAATCATATAAGCACTTTAATCTTGAATCTCTTTCTCTTGATGAGGCACGGGATGTTTCTCTGGTTAGGTCACCATCATCATAGAGTTGGAATCTATTTCGACCGAATTTAATCATTGTTGTCGTTATCAAAACTTCAGATGGATCGTTTGCGAGATTTTCATCTTTATACTGGCAAGTACATAGATGCACACTTACGTCCCATGAGGCCTATTTAGCGATGTCAAAAGAAAAATCACTCCTTAAAATGCCCTAAAGTCTAATAATTACCATTGAGAATAAAATGATTATGGGAAACACTGAGTCATACCTACTACCACAATCAAGAACTTGAGGAATAAATGCATAATTTCGTCTGTAAGAATCCTTAACTATATGGTTGTATGAGTGAAGGTACGAAAAAAAAATCAAAGAAATAAAACTAAAATCTTTTTATAGAGATATAGCTCATTCGTAGGGATAATTTACTACTGCCCACTGAGCACCTCAATAGTTACAAGAAATGGGAAAGCTTCCTCGCATCAGATACTTGTGTAGCATGTAAAATTGAGTTTGATTTCCCGAGAAAAATCATTATCGACTGCATTTAACGCGACAATTGATTTCCCTAATTGATGTTTGATTTCCTTCAGTTGGTTGATGTTTGATCTCATTCACCATATTGAAGTTCAAAAACCCTCAACTGACGTGTGGATTACATCATTGACATTTGGAGATATGTCCCAAAGTCATCTCACACATAAGGGATTGACACTATGCATAAACGAATAACCTCATACTTGAGGGACTCGTTCAAATAATAAAGACAAGATAAAATCACTCATCATTTTCAAGTCCTCGTGCTTAAGGGACTATGTATCAACATATCTGTAAGGAAACCATCATAGGCGATAGGGGAGGCGAATAATGTCTTTCCTCGTCCAAGCCCTCCAGAACGCATGTCTTCTGGATCGATCGCTCGTTTGCTTGATGTGTCTCCCCTTAAATATATTGCCTTCCTCTAGGAGGGGTCGTCAGAGGTGAAAAGTGGGGAAATGATGTGTCCTTACTCTGTACCAGTACAGAAGAAGTCATTTGACCATATTCTCAAAAATAGAAGTGCATTAATCGTCCATTCTTGCATCCTCTCAATTATGGTTGCTATTTCTAAAGGGCTTAGAATCCAGGCCAAACATTGCTATAAATACATCAATATTGATGTTGGAGGACAACCTCACTCATAGAGAAAACCACATATAGCGAACTTCTCACGCCCTATTTGAGCTAGCTCTCAACACTACAACACACCTTAAAATCTATGACAATCCTTAATCATAAAGATTGTCATGTATTATATTTTTTATCAAAAACCTGCGCCTTTTCGAAATCTACTTTAAATAAAAAATACACTCGTTTAGTGATAAAATCATGAGTTCATTAAGCATGTGAAAAGAAATCTTAAAAAAATTCCTCTAAATAAAATGAATATTTTATTCATTTTAATTTATAACTTTATTTTATAATACAATTAATAAAAAAATAAAAGTTGATTCATTAATCAAATAAAACATTCAAATAATTTTGATTGAAAATGTTATTTTCTTATTTTTCTAACCCACCTAACTTATTTTGACAATATCTAAAGATTGAAATTTGAGTAAATTGAGAGTGTTTTGGCTTACACTAGTGCAGAAATGACTTTTTACATCGGGTGAAATTGACTTTTTACATCGGTTCTGGGTCCGATGTAAAGTCAGGAGATATAGTAAATCAGGGACTTTTTACATCGGTTCTGGGACCGATGTAAAAAGTCCCTTTTTTACATCGGTTATAATATCAGAACCGATGTAATAACCTGTTATTATGCACATTTTTTTAAAAATTGATCCAGTTTTTTACATCGGTTGGAAGTAATACCCAATGTAAAAAGTCCCCAGTGACGCGACTTTTTACATCGGTTATTATCCCCAACCGATGTAAAAAGTCCCTTTTTGAAAGTTTTTACATCAGTTTTTACTAATAACCGATGTAAAATGTATGAAATTTTTTTGGAATAGATTTTTTATTTTCTAGATGTTTCCCTGTACAAATATAATTTGTACCCATTTTTTCATATTTTTTCAATATCACACGGACTATATTTATGTCGCTATATAGATTTCATAGCTTTCCAACATCACATATATCACATCTAGGTCGATGTTTTCATATTTTTCACAACAAACTTACAAATTGAACAATTGTATTGCAAACTTGTATTTTATTACAACAAACAAACTTACAATTACAAATTCTTCACAAAATATACAACAATATTCAACTATTTATAAGTCTTTTTTCAAAACTTACAATTACATATTATTCACAAAATATACAAAAAATATTCAACTATTTATAAGTTTCCAAACTTAAATTACCAATATAAAATCTTCGGTAGACAACACCAAAATCACATTGCCTGACAATAAATAATAACAATTAACATCAGCAAAGAAATCAAGAAACTCAATAAATGTGCAAAAACCATATGTATTGTGCAAAAACCACAACTTATACAATTCTATAAAACTCACCAAGATAAACTTAATTTTCATGTAACTCAAAGAAACATTTTGCCCAACGAAGTCGCAAATCATACAAATCATCTTGTGTTAATTCTGTTGGGTCATCAAATACCTATAATACATAAATATAACAATATAGAGTTAATTTTTAAAAATTCATATTAAGTCAAAAAATAAAAAGTAAATAACAAAGTAAAGTTATTTTTAGTACCTGCATCCAATTCTCAGTTATATTAGCAGAGACAATATCCAACATATTTTTTTCATCCATAAATTAAAGGAACTTTTCTATACTCTTTTGACACCATTGACACTTACAAGATTATTTCAATTACATTGCAATCATTAAAAGGTGTGGAGCCAATTAAATATCATCTCATAATTTAAAGTATGATAAATATAAAAATCACATAAAAAAAAGTTTAAAATTTATAAATATTCAAATGATAAATTTTTATATATTAACAATATAATCTTTTTATTACTAAAAAACCAAAATAATAATTTACAGAATTTGAAACCTAGTGTTAATATCTAAACTCATAATATTGATTTTCGTCGGTTGAGATAATTGTTGAACAATATAATCTACATAACTTAGAAGCAACATGCTTAACAATGATGGATTAAAAAAAATACTCTAGTAGTATAACAGAATTGGACATTATTGTCTTTCATTAACCAAATTAAGTATAGGTGATTAACAAAAGAACAAATGTTATTATGACTAAAGGCTATGCTATAACCCTACATGAAGACATCTAATTTATAGACTATAATAATGATATTTTGTTACCTAGTGAAACATTACATTATACACTTCACATAAATTTTATATTATCCACTATAGTACTAGCTAGTACTTAGTATCTTTCCCTTTGAAATAGTTCTCATCCTTCCAAAAAAAACAAAAGATCTTTCTATGTTTTCTTGTCCTATGACCTCAAAAAAGATATTACCGGCAAAAGCTGATAAGAGAAGAAAAGAAGAAAAAAGTTGATTGATATGATGAAAATGAAGGGAAAAAAAAAGATTATTCAAAAAACATACACTGTAACAGCATGTCCACCAAATGTGTATAGAATATTGGTTGCTCCTGTGAAATATAGCACTAGCTTTTTTGGACCAGTATGTGTCACATTTTCTGCCTGCAAAATTATTTCCAAAAATCATATCTTATAATATGCAATAATAATTTAAATTTAAATTTTACTAACAAAGATTTTAATTTTTTTTTATTTACCTGTCCATGAACAATAGCCGCTATAGTAAGATACCAGGCAGTGTAAGTGGTCATTCCAAGTCCAAGAAAAGACCAAATACGGTAATTATGAAACGATGGAATGAACACAGTTGTAGCACAACATGCTTCAAATATATAAGTCCAAGTTCTTTTGTCCAAGTTGTCAAAGCTGTAGCAACAAACAGGTGGGCTGAAGTTGTAACAAAAATATGTTTAGATTGTTGATTATTCTCTATAATTAAGTAAGAGGACAATTAAACACATCATAATATATGATAAATTTTGAATCAAAGTTTTTGTAATGAAACTCACCAACCATTCACAGTGTTCCTGGTTGCCCATTTGGTTAAGCTTTGTGACAGGAATCTGGTTTACTAGGGGCTAATGTATGCTCATCAATCCATCCTTTAACACAACAAACTTCATCATCTCTCACTTGGTGTGCATTTCGTTGAGCACTTGGAGTGCAAGATGTTAAACAATTGATACGACGCCAATTCTCCATGAATTTGCCAACAACAATCAATCACAACATAATAACAGCAAATCGGACCTGCAACCAAGAAATTTTAAGACAAAAAAACAAAAGAACATGATTCAGGCATTTCACCGAACATTTGATGTGCATAGCGCGAAACGATAAATTCAACAACAATTCTTCACTGATTCATAAATCACAACCTGCAACAATAACACAACAATGATTCTGCATTGAAAATCGAGCTTAAAAGTGAAAGGAAAAAAAAGAAGAGAACTTGTAAGGCCGCGACGATTGACTCTGATACTTCCTGGAGCAGTTTTGATTTCCTGAGTGGGAGAGAGACCATTGTAATGAGATTTTGAAGTTAGAGAAAGAAGAGCCTGGGTAGCTGCCCAAGCTAGCCGGCGCTGGCTTCGCCTATGGTGAAGTCGTGGCTCTAGAAAGGAACGACGAACAAAGAGATGCCTTGAATAAGAGGTTGGATTATGCTACTTCTAAGAAAGAGAATGCTATGAAGGAGAACATGATGCTGCCAAAACGTTTTTGAGGTATTTCTCTAACACACCAGTTAGAGGAAGAGGTTTAAGAAATTGAAACTCACACTGTGAAGAGGAAGATTGACGAGCTTGAGGTGTTGGGCTATGGGAATAAGATGTTTTTTTTTTTACAATGCACCTATTACATCGGTGCATGTAATACCTGATGTAAGGGTTGGCAAGCTTTTTTTTTTTTTTTTTACAATGCACCTATTACATCGGTGCATATAATAACCGATGTAAGGGTTGGCAAGCTTTTTTTTCTGACTTTTTTTTTACAATGCACCTATTACATCGGTGCATTGTAATACCCGATGTAATAAGTTGCAAAAAAATTAATTTATTCTTTAATTTATTTTTTATATTAATATCTGTTGTGAAGATATTACATCGGTATTTAGTCAACCGATGTAATATGTTGCATGTTTTTTATTAATATTTCTACTACCTTATTTCTTATTTACAAAAATGCCACCGTATTTTTTTCTGAAAACTTTTTACATCGGTGGATGCGTTTGCCCGATGTAATAGGTAGCGAAATATATTTTTTTTCATATTTTTTATATCATTGCAAATAAATACCTGATGTAAAAAGTTTGTTAATTGTATTTTTTACATCATATATTTTGATACCCGATGTAAAAACCTTTTCTCAAATGTCTTTTTTTTAGTAGTGTTAGTGGTTCTCTCATCACTTAGACAAGATCTAAAACCTCTAGAGTGCCACCATTCCATCTACCAATTGCCCCCTTAAGAAAAGCTAATTGGATTCTAATCAGTCTCACAATGTTAACACACCAATATCAATTATTGACCACAATAACAATGCTGCAGTAACTGATAGTGCAGAGCCCAATACCACTGCAGCACAACAGCCCAAGAAGAGGATCTCAGATCGCATGAAGAGCAGGCCCAAGTATCTCAAGAATTATGTTTGAAGAATTAGGACAGCTGGAGTTTATTTATTAGTATCCTAGGATTCTAGAAGGTTGCCAGCTCAACCAATCTAGCTGTTAGAAATACAGCTGTTAAAAATTCTGTTGCAATATTTGTTAGAATCTAGTAGCAATCCCTATAATCTAGGTGGACCATTGGATTTGATTGATCTGAATGTAATCCTAAATGTATGGAACTGCTATAAAAAGGCTAGCAGAATAAGGAATAGAAGAGAAATATTTTCCTTTTATTAACCTGTTAAGGAGGCCCCCTTGTCCTATGACTCAAGGAATATCATACACCTAACAATTTGGTGCTTTCATCGATCCTCCCTCACCTTTTTTCATATCTTTTCCATGGCAGCCAGACCCACAAATGCAGAAAGGCTTGATGATTTGTCAGAAAAAGTTGACCTCATCATCAACCAATTAGCCACCCTCACCACTCAACCACCAACACCACCCCCCACACCACCACCACCACCACACCCTCGACCCCATATCAAACTTGAAGTTCCACGCTTTAACGGCACCGACGCCATGGGCTGGATCTTTAAAATCAACCAATTTTTTGATTACCACAGAACACCGGAAGAAGAACGACTCACAGTCGCTTCCTTCTACATGGAAGGTCCGGCACTAAGCTGGTATCAATACATGTTCCGTAACGGTCTTATCACTACGTGGGTCGAATTGTTACAAACTCTTGAAACAAGATTTGCTCCAAGCTACTATGACGATCCCAGCCAATCCCTTTTCAAACTCTCACAACGTGGATCTCTGAACCAATACCTCCATGATTTCGAGCGACTTGCAAATCGAATCGTTGGCCTACCACCCCCTTTCCTCCTCAGTTGCTTTATCTCAGGCCTCTCACCAGAGATACGCCGTGAGGTTCAAGCCCTACAACCCCACAATCTCGCACAAGCCACCGCTTTAGCCAAAATCCAAGAAGATAAAATAGACGACCGCCGTCGCGGTTTTAAAAAAAGCCTTCCCTTCTCTTCCACAAACAGTCATCACCACCCCCACAAATTCTACCCAAACAAACCCTACCACCCCTCGCATTCAATTCCGCAAACTAACACCAGAGGAAATGTCCTCTAGACGAGAAAAAGGCCTTTGTTACAACTGTGAAGAAACTTTTATCCCAGGCCACAAATGCAAAGGTCGTTTCTTCTTGCTTGTCTCGGACGACCCAGACGTCGAGGAACAACATCCGACACCACTTGAACCACCCCTCGATTCTGACCACAACCTTAACTACACAAACCAACTAGATGGACAAATTAGCTTGCACGCCCTCTCCGGCTCAGCAGCCACCGCCACCATACGTATCATCGGAAAGATTGCTAACCGTTCTGTTACCGTTCTCATCGACGGTGGTAGTACGCACAATTTTATTCAGAGTCGTATGGCGAAATTTTTGAATCTTCCTTCTACTGCTGTTAACACTCTTAAGGTGATGGTTGGTAATGGACACCTGTTGGAGTGTCAGAGCTTATGCACCAACGTGGCACTCACTCTTCAATCCCACTTGTTCACAGTGGATTTCTATGTTCTTCCTCTAAGCGGTGCAGACATCATACTGGGTGCTCCATGGCTTAAGTCATTGGGCCCAGTCCTTATGGACTATTCCACCCTCACACTTTCCTTCACATATAACAACACCCCCATATTACTGCAAGCTGATGCAACCCAAGGCCCATCAGCCATCTCGGCCCAACAACTAAAACGCTGCGTCCAAACTCATTCAGCCTCAGAATTTTTTCACATCCAAATGCTCCAACCCACTGACCTAACTACACCACAAACCCTACCCGACCCACACCCAATTCCTTCCATCAACAATCTTCTCCTACAATATTCCCAAATCTTCAACCCTAACCCTGGCCTACCTCCTTCACGTACCTCTGACCATCGCATCCACCTTCAAGCATCATCTTCCCCTATATCCGTCAAACCATACCGCTACCCCTTTTCCCAAAAAAATGAAATTGAACACCAAGTCAAAGAAATGCTTCAACAAGAACTAATACGGCCTAGTCGGAGCCCCTTCTCCTCACCGGTTTTGCTCGTGAAAAAGAAGGACGGATCATGGCGATTCTGCATAGATTACAGAGCACTCAATTCCATCACCATCAGAGATCGTTTTCCGATGCCAACAATTGACGAACTGTTAGACGAATTGAATGGTGCTTCCTGGTTCTCCAAACTAGATTTAAGACAAGGATTCCATCAAATTCGAATGTATGAGGAAGACATAGCTAAAACCGCTTTCCGAACACACCAAGGCCACTACGAATACCGTGTGATGCCCTTCGGGCTCTGTAACGCGCCATCCACATTCCAGGCAACCATGAACGAACTCCTACAACCTTTCCTACGCAAATTTGTCGCGGTCTTCTTTGACGACATCCTCGTCTACAGCCTATCCCTCGAACTTCACCTAAAACATTTGGAACAAGTTTTTCACAAGTTACTCGATGGTCACTTCTACCTCAAACGTTCCAAGTGCTCTTTTGCCCAACGACAACTTGTCTACCTTGGTCACATCATTTCCATCTCTGGGGTTCAACCGGAACCATCCAAAATACAAGCTATGGTTGAATGGCCACAACCAACATCCATTAGAGCTCTCCGTGGATTCCTCGGCCTCACAGGATTCTATCGCAAATTCGTTAAAGGCTATGCTTCTATTGCTGCACCCCTTACCGCATTATTGCGCAAGGATGCTTTCATCTGGTCTCCAGAAGCTCAATCTGCATTTGACCAACTCAAAAGTGCCATGACCCAAACCCCGACACTTGCATTACCCGATTTCTCCTTACCCTTCGACATCGAAACTGATGCTTCTGGTACAGCCATGGGTGCAGTACTCATGCAAAGAGCTCACCCTATCGCCTTCTTCAGCCAGCCCTTCTGCAACAAACTACAGCGTTCCTCCACATATGTCCGAGAGCTACATGCCATAACATCTGCTGTTAAAAAATGGCGACAATACCTTTTAGGACACCGTTTCACTATTTTTACCGATCACAAGAGCCTCAAGGACCTCCTTTCACAGGTTATTCAAACACCCGAACAACACATATATCTCTCCAAACTCCTCGGCTACGATTACTCCATTCAATACAAAACAGGAAAGAGTAATGTAGTCGCCGACGCGCTTTCCAGAGCTCCTGAAGGCCCAGGTACGCATCTTTCTTTCTCTATTCCTCACTTCCTCTTTCTGGATCACCTTCTCCAATCTCTACAAAACAGTCAAACTTTCCACAAACTACTTAAACAAATACAAGCCGACCCATCCTCATTTCCAGACTACAAAATTCACCAAAACCTCATACTCTACAAAAATCGCATATGGCTAGATCACCAGAGTCCATTCTGCATTCAATTATTGGAAGAGTTCCATTCTACACCTCTGGGAGGACACATGGGTGTCACAAAAACCTTGGCCAGACTACAATCTAATTTTTTCTGGGACAACATGAGACACACTGTCCAATCCTTCATCAAAACTTGCAATATTTGTCAACAAACCAAACACCTCACACAAAAACCAGCAGGACTCTTACAACCTCTCTCCATTCCATCCAACATCTGGGAGGATTTATCATTAGACTTCATCACAGGATTACCATCCTCTCATGGATTTACGGTGATATTGGTAGTAGTCGACAGATTCTCTAAAGGTGTTCACCTAGGAGCTTTACCAAATCACTTCACAACTTACAAAGTTGCTACACTTTTCATGGACATGATATGTAAACATCATGGTTTTCCCCGCAGTCTCGTTTCTGACCGTGATCCCATCTTTATCAGCCGTTTTTGGCGTGAATTGTTCAAACTCTGTGGCACAAAACTCAGAATGAGCACGGCATATCACCCCGAAACAGACGGACAGACTGAAGTTTTCAACCGGGTCTTGGAACAATATCTTCGTGCATTCGTGCACAAGCATCCTCACCGATGGTACGACTATCTGCCTCTAGCAGAATGGTCCTACAATACCTCTGTTCATTCTTCTACAGGCTATTCACCCTTTGAAATCACCTTTGGAAAACCCCCACCCAACATTCCAAACTACATACTTGGATCCTCCCCAATTGAAGCTGTTGATTCTATCCTTTCACACAGAAAACAACTCATCACCAAACTCCAAAATACACTGTCAAAAGCTCAGGCCAGAATGAAACAATTTGCTGACACTAAAAGACGTGACGTTTCCTATGCCATTGATTCTTGGGTCTATGTCAAACTTCGCCCTTATAGACAGAAATCCGCCTCATCCCAATCCTACACCAAACTCTCTCAAAGATACTATGGCCCTTTCAAAGTTCTTCAACAAATAGGACCAGTTGCATACAAATTGGACCTTCCCCCCACCTCAAAAATCCACCCGGTATTCCACTGCTCCCTTTTAAAACCTCACCATGGACCAATTGATTCAACCACACCATCCTTGCCCCCAACCTCCACCGAAAACCATCCACTCATTACACCAATGTCCATCATAGACTACAAGTGGGACAATTCCACCACCCCACCTACTCGCATGGTACTGATTCAGTGGCAAGGTCTCAATCCAGAAGACACCAGCTGGGAATCATGGCCTCAAATTTGTGAATCTTATCACCTTGAGGACAAGGTGGTTTTCCCAGCCCCGGGTGATGTTAACACACCAATATCAATTATTGACCACAATAACAATGCTGCAGTAACTGATAGTGCAGAGCCCAATACCACTGCAGCACAACAGCCCAAGAAGAGGATCTCAGATCGCATGAAGAGCAGGCCCAAGTATCTCAAGAATTATGTTTGAAGAATTAGGACAGCTGGAGTTTATTTATTAGTATCCTAGGATTCTAGAAGGTTGCCAGCTCAACCAATCTAGCTGTTAGAAATACAGCTGTTAAAAATTCTGTTGCAATATTTGTTAGAATCTAGTAGCAATCCCTATAATCTAGGTGGACCATTGGATTTGATTGATCTGAATGTAATCCTAAATGTATGGAACTGCTATAAAAAGGCTAGCAGAATAAGGAATAGAAGAGAAATATTTTCCTTTTATTAACCTGTTAAGGAGGCCCCCTTGTCCTATGACTCAAGGAATATCATACACCTAACACACAACCAACACCTTAACCAACGACTTATACAAAAGGTTTATTTCCTCTCTATATTTTAAGGTAGACACCAAATCGTCTAGCCAATCTTTGTCTACAAAGTTTAAATGAATCAAACAACAAATGAATAAATTTTTTTATTTATTAATAATAGCAACACACATTATTACACTAGCAAGTTTGAATCCATACATGAAATTATAAAACTGTCTACTACTGTGGCGTGAAAGAAAAGTTGATTGAATCAGGGATTTTAAAAATCGGTCACGACTGCAAAAATGGCCGCGACAAAATAATATCGGCAGATGTCGACATCGATATCTTTATCATTGATTTTATATTAAAGAACAAATTATGGTTAATTAACACTGTAACCGCGCATGAGTACCGATTGAAATCGCGAAAGCCTTTACGCGACCGCGATCGTTTTTAAAACCCTGGATTGAATTATTTAAAAAGCATAAAAAAAAACAAGAATTGAAGATGAAATTTCAAGAAGCAATTTGTTGTTCAGAATCAGTGACTCGGTTTGCATAGAATCTAGCAATGAAAGCAGATGCTTTCCTGTCAATACCAGGCTCAGCAACCCAACGACCTCTGTCTTCATCACTTGTAAACATCCTGCTGCTACTCCCTTCATAATAGTAATCATTTTTGCTTTCACTTGAGAAACATGATTTGAACATTCCACAAAATGAGAATGAAGATGACTTCTTGCCTCCCATTTTATCCAGGAAACTTCACCTCTAAGCTAACCTATAGGCTATGTTATGTCTCTTTTAGTTGGAAGTAGCTAGCATTGAATATCAGGACTCATATTTATAGCCTACATAAAGTGAATGTCACATGCAACAAAAACACTCATAATATTTTATAAAATATCTTTAGATTAATACTCATACTTTATATTTTCTAGTTGATCTAGAGTTTAAATTTTAATAGCAATATTTTTTTGTATTTTCTAATAATATATTGTTATTGGTATGTATATGTTTTATTTTTCAATATACAAAAATAATTATTCTAAAGTAAATATTATTTTTCAATATTTATATAATATTATTTTTTATATCATTTAATTAATAGTATGTGTATCAGTCACAAGGGTTGAAGATGGTTCATCAGCTAAAAAAAAAATTTTAGAAGATGATATGAAATATATTTTAGAAAATATAATTTTCTTGGTAGACAATTATGTTTATTATTGTCTGTTTTACAGGCAAAAGGTAGGGTCATGATTATTTGAAATGACTAATAAAAATAGTTATGATGGTTGTAAAACTTGAGACACAGGAAAAAAAGAAAAGAAAGCACAAGTGTTGTTGTCCTTTCATCTTGTATTGACTGACCCTTTTGCGGTTCTTCTACAAAAGATGCTTTCTTTACTTAAATAATGCCTACAGAATTAGATTAATGCGTCTACTCCTAACTTTGTTGAATGTGTTGTGACTTTTCCTCTCAAGTTTCTGTGGGCTTTATTTCATACTTTTTCTGTTTTCCTCTTTCTTGGAACCTGAGAGTAACTACTTCAACAACAAGATTAGGAGGTCTTTGTTAATAATAAATGTGAGAATTTTAACGAAATTTTCAACTATTTGATTTGTGATATTATATGTAACTTAATCACCAAGAAACGGGTTTAATAGACCTAACACATTTAAGAAGGAAATTCAAAGTTTTAAATTTAAGTTGCTAACATAATATACTAATAAGAGATTGTTACTCTTGATTTTGCAATTGTGTTGTTGCTCTATATAGGAAGGGATTGTTATTTTGATTGAAATTATGTTATTTTCTACTTGTAAATAATACACCATAAGTAACTCTATTGTTTGTTAGATGTAATTCGAATTCAACATTTTCATTTAGTTTTCATTAGCATTTAAGTTTATTTTGTTTGTAGTTTGAATTTGAGTTGGAGTATACAAACTGAAGCTTGTTCAGTTTGTTGGAATGAGAAACTTTCATGATTGAGATTGAAAATTTAATTAGAAATATGGTTACATTTTTCTCTCTACATTCTTTCATCTCTACCGTCTTCAAGCTTCTTATGCATTAATGGAATTTGTGTGCTAACTCTATAAATTGGTATTCAGAACTTCGGTTCTGATTTAGAGAAACACGAATGTATATGAGGTGTGTGATTGATTTCCTTCCTTAAATTCATACTGAATTGAAGATCAAAATCGAAAAAGAATCACATTTTTTTATTCTTATGGTTGAGAAACACGAGTGTTTTGTGAGATTTTAGTGAATTGCACAGGAATGAAGATGAACGGCAGAAATAGTAGTTTGAACACAAAGCTTCCAGTATTAGACATAAAGAATTGGAATCGGTGGTCGATTTTGATGCATGTGTTGTTTGGAGCTCAATATATTCTTGATCTCACCAATTACAGTTACACGTCGGTTGCAGAAAAGATGCAACAAAAGCGCAAATAAACGTGCAACATGATACGAGGAAGAAGGATCAAAAGGCATCATTCTATATCCATCAGTGTGTGGATACAAAGGTGTTCGAGAAGATTTCAGACACAGAATGATGACGAAAGCGACGTTGGATACACTTGTGTGATGCTTTGGCGATGACGCATTAATGAAGAAAGTGAACTTGCAGTCCCTATGCAACCAATACAAGAATCTCAACATGAAGAACAATGAAAAGGTACCAGATTACATCTCGAGAGGGACTATGATCATGAATGAGATGAAAGCATGTGGAGAAACTCTCTCTGAACAAGTAATCATTATAGTCATAGAAACATTCTAAAGACACTAGCACCATGATAATAAAATAACTTCAGTGTAGTTTAAAGGCACAAGAGTTGCGTCTGACTGAAAGGAACTCTGAAAGGGAGTCAAAACAGACTCTGAAAGCTTCTTTTGTCAAGAAGAACAAGAATCAAGCAGGGCTAGAGAACAATAAAAATAATGTTCAGAAGTCAAAACCTTCTTCTTCAGAAGAAGAAAAGAAACATAATAATGTTCATAAGGAAAAGGAGAAGTTTGATAAGAGAAAGGTTCAATGCTACAACTGTAACAGATTTGGCCACTTTCTCTCTGATTACTGGTCAAACAAAGAAACCAAGTGTCAAGAATCCAATATAGCCATAGGAGATTCAGAGGATGAACTTGTGATATGCATGGCATCTAAGAATGAAGGGGAAAAATGGTAGACTAGTGGTATATGGACAATGGCTGCTTAACTTACCTAACTGGAAACAAGCAATGGCTGATTGATTTTGACTCTGGTAGAAAGGCCGAGATCATATGTGATGATGATGAGTATCTGAATGCTGGAGGAATGAGAAATGTCAGATTGAATATGAAGGATGGAAAAATTGTATTGATTAATGATGTATGGTATGTTTCTACAATGAAGGGCAATCTGATGAGTGTAAGTCAACTGATTGAAAATGTTTTTTCAGTAACCATGAAGGATAATCTCTTAAAGTTATACGACTGTATTCAAAAGTTGATTATGCAGTCTGAACTGGGAAGAAAGAGGACATTTAAGGTGAATTTTGAGTCAACATACCCTTAATGCCTTAGTGCAACAAGTGTTTCATGGGAGAGTGAGATGAGGCAAAAGAGATTAGGGCACCTAAACTTCAAAATCATAGGGCATCTGAGTTCAAAGAATCAGGTACTTGGAATTCCAAAGATTGTGGCACCATAGAAATCATGTGGCATATGAGTGAAAGGAAAGCAACCAAGATTTCATTTTTCATCAGAATTGCCTCCAAGAGAAACTCATTATTTGGGTGTTGTGCATTCTGATGTATGTGGTCCATTTGAAGTACCTTCACTTGAAGCAAACAAGTACTTTGTGTCATTTATGGATGAGTTCACAAGAATGGCATGGGTAGCACTTATAAAGTTCAAACATGAGGTGTTGGTTGAGTTCAATAAGTTCAAAGTGAAGGCTAAAACTTCGAGTGGACAAAGGTTGAAGATCCTCAACATATGTCCAACAAAGAACTTAAAGGAAGTTGTTCCTCTGGAAAAGTGGACTGGAAGAAAGCAAAGTGTGATTCGTCTAAAGGTTTTTGGTTTTGTTTGTTACAAACATGTATCAGACGCTACTAGAAGGAAATTGGATGTCATGTTGCTTATAGGTTAACATAGTACAAGTGCTTATAAGCTCTATTTCCCACTCACCAATAGAGTTGTTATCAGCAGAGATATAATAGTGAAAGAATCACAAACATAGGAATGAAACCAGTCTCAATCCAACTCTAGTGCAATGCCAACATTAGAGTCTGATTTTGTCTCTGAAGGAGACTATGACTCTAACGGAGATTCTGAGTCTGAAAGAGATTCGGACTTTGAAGGTTATCCAGCCTCTGAAGGTGATCCAGCCTCTGAAGGTTGTCCAGCCTCTGATGATGTGTCACACTGTATATGCAAAAATGCAGCGGTAATAATTTGAGACTAAGCCATCAATTGACTTAACTCACACAATGAAGTCACTACTGCACTTTATTGTTTCCAAAGGGAAAATGGGAAAAGAGAGAATAAAATTAAAAATGAAATAAAATAGAGATCATGATACGGGGGTCGGTTATGCAGAGGGAAGGTATTAGCACCCTAAGCATCTACGGTACTCCACAAGATCCACTTATTTTAATCATGGAGTGTGTTATCTAAAGCTTAAACTTTCTAAAGGGAAACAATGAAAGAGTATTTACAAACAAAAGAAATGTTTTTTATTATTTCACCCTCCGCAGTTGCGAACCTTTGTGCCGACGTACCCCTTTCGTGTAATAAGGGATCAGAACACTCGTAGTTCTTCTCAAAAAGAACAAAACTGTGTGTTGGTTGTTTTTTAAATGAAGAGAAAAATTTTCATTTTTAAGGAGAAGAGTCGTCTAATCACCCACAAGGTATAAGAAAGAAAGACTATGCACCAACATGAGAGAGGGCTTGAGAACACCTATAGTATTCAAGTGAAGAAGTCGACAACCATGGGAATAGAGGAATGACATATCGATTAATAAATGAATCATGTCTAATATGGAAAAACGTTTTAAAGGATAAAAGGTGCTCGAGCGCACAAAATGGTTTGAATGAGGTTCTATTTTAGTCTTTTTGAAAAGTGTTTGAATATACTTATGTGGTTTAGCATTTATTAAAGAAAAGAAGTTTGAAAAAGACACTTGACAAAGTCAATGTTTATTATGAAAGCGGTTTGAATTTAGAAAGCAAATAAGGTTTTGAATAAGATAAGAAGGTTTTGAAAATTAAAGAATGAGAAGGAGATGAAGAGAGTGTTCTATGTACAGGAAGGTAAAATATAAGGGTAAAGAAGGTCTGACCACACATCATAAATTGTTACAATGACTCACACAAAGCACCAAAACATCACATATACTAAACACTTCACAATGATTCATATACTCATGCTAAATTGATTAAATAATAATTAATCTAGAATTTGGGGCGTTACAACTCTCCCCCACTTAAAATAAATTTCGCCCATGAAAATTACCTGGCGGAAACATGTTTGGATAAGACTCTTTCGTCTAATCCTCGATGTTTCCGAGTCCAATTTTTACTAGCTGGTCCATCCAATAATACCTTCACTAAGACGATCTCCTTGCCTCGCAATCGCTTCACTTCTAGACCTTCTATTTGCAATGGTAATGCTTCAATAGTCAGGTTATCTCTCACTTGTACATAATTCATTTGTATCACATGCGGAGGATTTGGAAGTGACGATGCC